CTTTAGATGTTTGAGAATGATCATGGCAGTGTGCTACCTGCTAGCATCACATGGTAAACTCTATTGCATTAAATTTCCAGTCTATATTTTGGCTGATGTCCTTATGGTATCAAAAGTTCCTAGGAACAAAGAAAAAATAGCAACAATAAAAAACAAACCAAGGACTCCTTTTTTTTTGTTTTGTTTTTTGTTTTTTAGACTAGCTCTCATCAGTCTGGCCTTGATCTCATGGTGATCCTCCTGCCTGAGCCTTCTGAGTGCTCTGATTATGAGTGTGTGACACCATGTCCAGCCACCAGTGTTGTTTTAAAAAAGGAAATATAGTGCTGGGCGCGGTGGCACACCCATGTAATCCCAGCACTCAGGAGGCTGAGGCAGGAGGATTGTTGCGAGTGCAAGACCAGCCTGGACTACATAAGTGAGTTCAAGGCCAGCCTGAACTGCATAGTGAGACCCTATCTCAAAAAGACAAAACAAAACAAAAAAAGGAAATAGAAAAAGTCTTTAAATAATATGACAGATGATTGATTTCATTTGTATTAAAATAACATAATTCTACACTGAGATTCCATTTCTCATCTATCAGGCTGGTAAAGATCTAGCGTTTAATAATGCATGGTTAGTGAGACTGATACTTTCTTTTTTTATTTTAAAGAGAATAATAATAATAATAAAAGAACAATAGCAAAATACCAACAACATAGACAAAAAGCAAAACAAAGCAAAAGCAAAAAATGGTACAGCATTTCAGAACAAAATGATAGGGATTAACAGTGGTTGTTATATTACATATTGTTATCTTCAACAAAGTTGCTCAGATTACCAGATGTAAGAATAGGACTGATACATTCACTATTGGAGAGACTGCAGAAAGCTACAACTCTTAGCAGTGATTTCGAACCTTTTAGAGATGAGTCCCCAAACTGTAACCCCAACCCTGCTTCTTTATCACAGAGTTCCAACACTGCAATTAAACCGGAATACTGAGGTTTTAGTTTAGAAAAAACAACTCATACAATAACATCTTTTGTCTTAAAAACACAGTAACATGTGTGCAATAGGTTCACCACACGTATGCCATAGGTCAGCCCCCGTTGTAGGTTACAGATGCATTTAATATTTATTCAGCAATCCCTCTTGTAGGAATCTACCCTCTAGATACACTTTCTCATGATTAGAGAAGACATACATATGGGGATACTTAGCAGTATTTTTTTAAGTAACAAAAACTTAGAAATAATCAAATGCTGAGCAATTAGGACAAGTTAAGTCAATAACGATCCATCCACTGGAGGAGTACTGTGTAGATCTGTAAAGAAGAATGTAGGAACATGGAGTGATCCTTTAGAACATTTTATTAGGTAACAAAAGCCAAGGTGCAGAACAGTATAGATGCCTGTTACCTTGTATTTGTCTAAAACAACACGAAGGTAATATAACTAAAAGGGAGAGGAATAAATGGGAAGACAGAGCCAGGACATGGGCAGGAATGGGGCTTTTTAGTAGATACTCTTTTCCATAATTTAGATATTTGTGCTCTGCAAGTGTGTCATGTATTCATACAGAATGATGAAAGAGAAACCTTTAACTTCAGCTTCACTATGAGAATATTTTCAGAGTCTCATGATTGAATAAGTCTGATTCTGATAAAACCTACAAAGCAATAGCTGGTGCTCCTAATTCTCCCTAAAGCATCCTACCCTGTCAGGAAGGCAAATTGACTATGCTTTGATGTTAGATGAAAAAAACACATTAAAAATTAATTCAGGAGTTCTGTTTTTCACCCTCTACTCCCTCTGGGGATGACTGTTATTATTACTCAGGCTTTGTCTCCCTTAGCGGATGGGTTTGTTTTGCAACTGCAAGACTGAGTCTGTTTCTACAGAAACCTGTTGAGCTGAAGGAAAGCCAGCTACTCCCTTTCAGCTTGTCCCAGAAAACAATGCAGAAACCATAAAAGTGGAGATCCTAGAAACAACGGCTGATTGAAGCAGGCTGTGCTGTGGCTCTTGGACCTGCAGGGTGAATTCCCACGGGTCACTGGGGAGACTTTCGTTAAGTTCTTTGCTTGTGTTTGGAAAGATAAATGCTGCACCTTACCCCTGGGGCAGTCACAGCATTACTGTCCTTCTGTTCTCATCAGTCGGCTTCTGTTGGATCCCTCTCTGGTGCTGGCTTCTCCATCTGTCCCCCTCCGCCATGCCTGGGCTGCTGGAGGAATCCTTGGGCTCTCCTCTCTCCTCACCCCTCCTCCCACCACACTGCGTCTCCTCTATCCCGAGGCCACTGACAGAAGTTAGAGCATTTCTTGGTGATTTCTAATCAGTTTTCCCCGCTCTCATCTCTTACTTCTGACTGTTCTGGCCGCTTTGCTCTCTAGTCCTGCCGTCCTGTGACTCCTGCCACCCTGGCTCCCTGCAGAGGACACATGGGCCTTCAGGCCCTTGTCCGGGGACCTCCTTAGCCCCGTCGCTGGCCCTTCCTGACTGTGGAACCCTGTACTCCAATGCCGGAGTCAACTCTGAAGCTTGATAGTCCATTCCAGGGATGACAATGAAGTGGTGTTTGAGCATAAAACTTGGTTGTAAAAGACTTTTTGAGAATAATTCTTGCTTTTTGCCACACAACGGTGTCCCCGGGGCCAACAGGAGCTCGCTGACAGCCATTGTGCCTTTTGCTGTCTTCCTCATCCCTGCACCACCTCCTGCAGTCTCTGCTTCTGCAGCTGAGCCCGCTCTGGTTTCTTCACATTGCCTGTAGATGTGTCCTGGGAGCCACTGACTTCAGAGGCTGCTGTGACCCTGTGCTTCTTTCCCGGTGGACTTATGTGCCCTTTTCCTGGTCCATCCCACAGCAGTCTAGGCTAATAGCTAACATAAACCCTATTTTTTATTCAGGCCACCAAACTAGAAGCTCATTAAAGAAAAAGACTAATATTTTAAAAAATCTCTATTCTAAGTGGTTAAACACAGTACCTGAGTATAGTATGTACCCAAGAATAGTTAATAAATGATTCAACTAATGATTTGGTAAATGAATGAGTGCACCAGTGAATTAAGTGGAAGATTCTTACGCTTAATGCTGTGAGGGATGAGTTGGTGGTGACAGCTTGCACGTGTTCATTGACTCTTCTTTGCCTTTCATGGTTTCAGAAAGGAATTTCTTTGCCCATTTCAGAATCTTTTCCTTAAATGTTCCATTTTACTGTTAATATATGAGTATGGTCAGGTAGCAACTGTTTCATAATAATCTAAGAAAAGGTACTTTGGAGAACTAGGTAAGGAGACTGTTTTCTGACATCCTACGAGAGATTCATGTTGAAGAAAGTGAATTGAACTAGTTGAGGTCCAAGATAACTCCCAACTCTGAAGTTACATGAAAGCTGTGTGACCAGGTAACCATGCCAACCACCAGAGTGCAAACACAAATATAACATAGCTCTTGCCCATTAGGCATTTTAACTTGACCATGGAGAGTTTTTTTAAGAAGTTATTTCAGTTTGTACTTTTGTGTCATAATTTTTATTATATATATGTGGTAATACAGGTATATGTGTATACATATTTTGGCTGTGTGCAGTTTGTGTATTATGAATTGTTTATGACTTTACTTGTGTTTCTGCTAGAGTGTTCTAAAACTTGGTTATAAAGGATTTTTTAAAAAGACTCTTGCTCTTTGTAATAAATATTATAGATATTTTCTCAGATTGCATTTGTCTTTCTAAAGGTGCTTCTCACCCTACAATTGTACAAATATTTCTCTATATTTTTTTTCTACTTTTATGATTTTACTTTTCCTCAGAGAAACCACTAATCCACTGAGAATGTTGCTCTTGTGTATGGTATGAGCGAGGAATCAAGTTTTATTTTTTCCAGATGGTTAGCCTGTTTCTCCCACACCATTTATTAGTCTTTATTTCTTCCACTGAATATAGTACTTTTCAACCTTTCAGTATGTCTCCTTTTCCCTTCAGCTGAAGTGTGACTGTGCCTTTACTTCTGGGTTAAAAAGTAATCACCAGTTACTTTTCATTTCAGAGTAGGAAAAGTCACACTGTGTAGAGAAAAGACACCTGTGACCTTTCAGAGAGCTACAGTTGTCCCTAGGTATCTGCTGAAGGATTGGTTCCAGGATACGCCTTCCTGCCTCACAAATTCCACAATCCTTGGATGCTCAAGTCCCTTCTATAAAATGATGTAACATTTGCCTATAACCCATGCACATCCTCCAGTATGTGTACTTTAAGTCACCTTACAATCTAATGCAATACCTAAAGCAGTGTCAGTGCTATGTAGACAATTGTTACACTGTATCATCTAGGAATAATGACAAGAAAAAGTCTACATGTTTAATACAGACAAAAGTTCTTTTTCAAACATTTCCAGTCTGTGGTTGGTTGAATCTGTGTCAATCAGTATGTTGTTCAACAAATATTTTTAGCTCTCTGCTTCCCGGATGCTTGGTAAGATTGTATTTATGGGCCCTCATGGCTGGTGAAAGCTATGTGACTTGCTCTGGTAAGTTGTAAGTGAATACTCCATGAGTCTGTGCTGGGCTATAGCATTTAATTGCTGGTGTGAGAAGTTCCAGAACTTTCTTTCCTGTTATATAATGACTGAATTGTTCAACATGGTGTCTTTCTCTTTGGTCCGATTTTCTGAATGACTACAATAAACAAATCTCTCTTGCCCCTAACACATTCCCCCTTGATAGTCACACTTTAGGAAAAAAAAATGCATCTTTATTGTAAATCATCAAGATTTGGGGTTTTGTTTGTTTGTTTTTGAAGCATAATTCAGTGACCCTGACTAATGCACGTATTCTTTTCCACTATCTCATTTAATTTCTTTGTCATCAGCTGAACTCAAATTAGGGGGTTGCCTAGGGAGGAGATACTGCTTCATGTGAACTGTTGAGATTAGAAAGAAATGATAATTTTAGCAATAAAGATACAAAAGAAAAACCTCATATTTGATTTTAGGATAACTTAATTTTTTCAGGTCATCTGGAGCCTCAAAATGTTTGCCAAGGCAACAAGGAATTTTCTTAAGGAAGTTGATGCTGGTGGTAACCTGATTTCAGTATCAAACTTGAACGACTCTGATAAGCTACATCTTCTAAGTCTGGTGACCAAAAAGAAGAGATATTGGTGCTGGCAAAGACCTAAGTACCAGTTTTTATCTGTCACCCTTGGAGATGTACTCACAGAGGACCAGCTTCTGAGTCCAGGTATGTTTTCTTGTGTATATTCTATAATTGGTTCTGGAACAGAAGATGGATCTTTTAGACATGTGTTGTCTAGAATTGAGGTGATAGATTGTAATGAATTCTTCTTTTTCTTTGCACGCTGTCTCAAAAATATATCTTTTCTTAAAATGCATGAACTTCTGTGTGCTTGACATGAAAAGTTATAGGTTCATTTTTCCAGTTTTGGTATAAAGGTCAATCATGCTAGCCATGATGGTGCATATGTGTAATCCCAGCCACTCAGGAGGCTGAGGCAGGAAGGTTGAAAGTTGGATGCAAGTCTGGGTAATTCAGGGAGACTCTTATCTAAAAATAAAGACATAAGAAAGGCTAACGATGTATGTCAGAGCTCTTTAGGTTCAATCCCCAGTGTAGGGGGGTAATGCCCCTGTAGATACTTAGCATAAGTGGAATGGTTGCCCTGCTCAGAATTTGGTTCCCTGTTGAGATGGATGATGCCACGTACTGATGAAGAGAGTGTGAATAGTGTTATTACTCACACAGTGATACTTTCTGGAGAACATAAAGCAGGCTCCCAAGCTGGTGTAAAGTGGCTACAGCGAGAGGAGGTAAGGAGCTCAGCTGTTACTGTGATTAATGGGTGGAGCATTCCTGTCTGTATTGGGTTGGGGTTTGTGTGGTGTAACTTTCACTGGCACACATATTGGGAGCACCCAGGCTTTCTTATCAGTTTGTCCAGATGTGCAGTGGAAGAAGAAGAGGAAGTCGGGGGCTTGAGAGCTGCCCGCAGACAGACCGCAACAGTGGATCGGATACAAGTGCACTCTGGTACAGTTGTACATGGCATAGTTCAGACAAAGATGGGCTGCAAAGTGATGGTCCCTTAAGATGATGTAGCCCAGTGACATCCTAGCTGTCTTAGTTTGTGTACGTAGCTCTATGATTTTGGCGCAGTGATGAAATTGCCTAGTGATGCATTTCTCAGAACTTGTTAAATGGTACCTGTCTGTGTTTCTGTAAAATACAGTAAGAGACAGAAGAGAAAACTAATCAACAAAATCTACCTTCACTTATTAATTTTCCTGAACACTTGGATTATAGTCTTTATTTCTTTGCCATTTATTTATTTGTTTAATTTTTGAGACAGGGCCTTGCTATATAGTTCAGGCCTGCCTTGAACTCACTATGTAGCCCAGACTAGCCTTGAACTCATGGCATGATCCTCTTGCCTCAGCCTCCCAAGTGCTGGGATTACAGGCATGCATCATCATGTCTATCTTTCCCCTTTAATTAAAAAAAATTGCTATTGTTTTAGATACAGGGGTCTCACTGTGTTGCCTAGGCTGTTCTTGCTTTAGCCTCCTGAGTGCTGGGATTATAGGCGTTTGCTATTAATGATGCTTGGCTTTTGCATTTAAGTTTTTAAAAACAGAATTAGAAACACTAAAAACAGTTTTTATATACTTTAATAAGGCAGCAAAGAATATTTCTGTGTGTGTGTGTGTGTGTGTGTGTGTGTGTGTATGTGGGATGTGTGTGGTGCTGCCAGTTGAACCCAGGGCCTTTCACATGCTAGGCAAACCCTTTGTTATTAAACTATATCCTCTGTCCCACGGTTGGTTTTTTTTTTTTAAACAATTGATTGGACCAGAGGTTGGAAACTTTTTGCAGACTCTGTACTCACTGCCATTCTACTTTTTGGAGCGTGGTGATTTGTGAAAGTATCATCATTTTTTATTGGGTGAAATGATATCTCAGTCTTCTTGTGGCTCCAAAATTCCCTAGCTTTGTGATTCCATCTTTAATCAAGGGAAAAAGAGATAGGGGACATCATTCGAGTTTCCAAATTTTCTTCTGAACAAGCCAGTGAGCTTATTGGGGCTGCTGAACAGTGGGAGAATGAATCAATATGAATTTTATAGCAGCCCATCCCCAGACTTATGTACATCCTGGCAGAACTTCTACTGAATGGTAAAATAACTAAATGTAAGGGGAAGCAAGGGAGAGAAGAATTCACAAGCTAGACCACAAGCCCCTGAGTAATGGAATTTCTCTGCTTTGTAATGTTGAAATGCTTCCTTTGCGGTGTCTTGAAAAAACATGCAGACTCAGTTGCAGTCACTGAAGACAAAAGGTGGCATTTGAGAGTTCACAAAGTCTTGATAGTCCCTATGGGGTATGATTTAACTTTGGGGACAGAGTTTTCAGCAGTGGTAGAAGTCTGACTGAGGCCAGAACTGTAGATAGAATTCTGAAGATAGAATTTTTGTAGAGCCTTGTAGAGCCTAGGACTATGCTGTTTATCAGAAAAGGATGTTACTGTGGTCCAAATCCATGGATCAAGCACTTGTTGCATGCCAAGCTCTGTACCTGGCAAAAGCATCCATGAGGTAGGTGTCATTAATGATCTCTAATTACATAGGAAAGTCTGAAGTTCAGGGAGATGAATGTTATCCAAGGTCTCCCATTTAGTGATATTAGAGTAGGGAGATAATCTTAGGGTCATCATATCCATTCCATCCTACCTCCCAAAGCTTCTCAAAGTGTTTGCAACCTACAGGATGTTAACTAGAAGAAGCTTCTTCTCAGCCTTTCCTATTCTTGGTGGTAGTTCAGTGGGTGAAGGCGATGTAGGCTGCAAAGATAATGAGATTGCTTATTAATGGTGGCCAAGGAATGGGTTTTCTTGACTAGAGTCAAAGAAATACAGCTGTTGGGGCAGTGTGCAGATGGCAAGAATGTTTTCGGACTGGTGGTTTCCAGTCCTTTGAGAAGGGCATCCGGGAGCTCAGGTGAGCCTTGGGCTACGGTGAAGGGAAAAGGCAATTGTGAAGTTTCTAGCAGGAGTTTTTTTGAAATGTGGTCTCACTGTGTTGCCCAGGCAGGTCTCAAACTTATAGGTTCAAGCAATTGTTTTGCTTCAACATTCCAAGTACTAGGATTACGGCCATGTACTACCTGGCTCCCAGCAGCCTCTTAATATAGCTTTACTGAGTGTGATAGTTGAGAGTATTTTTAGGGTTGTACCTGGGTGGATTAGAAATGAGAAAAGTGACCTTGGGGTGTAGCTCAGTGGTAGAGTGCATGCTTAGCATTGTGAGGCCCTGAGCTCAATACCCACCACCAGGGGATAAAAAAAAATGAGAGGGAACAGTAGAAACCTAGAGACATGTGAAGGCTGGCAGTTTGTGTGAGGTCTTGAGAGTCATCTTTAGGGTTCAGATACAAAGGGATCTCGAAGGCATTTTGATAGCTGTCACTTGGTCTGGCCAGATGCAGAGCATGGCAGTTCTCAGTTGACTCAGCTGAAGCTGGGAGAGTGGGCAGCAGTGGCATATTCCTTAGCATCTGGGAAGCCGGGAAGGAAGGAGGGAGAGAGTCTGGGGCTAATGTGCTTCAGGATGGTGACTGGGAGGCCAGGCATGTCAGCAGATTTTAGCAGGAAGAGATTAGGAATGGCATGATAAGGAATCAGTGACAGGCTAGAGGGCGGATAGGAAAATGTAACATGGGAGGCGGTAATGAGGGCCAGGACATTGTTCTCCAAGGCTGGTAGGCAGGAAGGCCCAATGTCCATGATGCCCAAGGCGAGGTCCAGGTGGACGCACCAGGTGCATTCCTTGGGGGTGCGTCTAGTGGGGCTCCTTTCCAGCCTGTTCCCTGGCAAAGCACACATTTAAAATGGTCTAATTCTTCAACAGGTGGTGGTTAAAGAGATGTTCACTTTGAAATGATTTGCTGAATTGTACAGATTTTTTTTTTGTACTTTCCATACATGTTGGAATTGAAAAATGACAATACATAAAAGCAAGAGAGTAAGCCCTGGCAGTCTGGGGCGCGCCCTTGCTCAGCACTTGGGCAGGCGGCACGCTCTATTTTCTATTTTCTTTTGCTCTGTTTTCATTTGGCTGCTGGCCGGTGATTCCCAAGGCTCTGCAGGAAGCCAGGTGACCCAAGACACAAAGGTGGCCTTGTTGTCTTCAGGTTCCTGTGCTCCGTTTGTTCCAGTGGTCGTGGAGTCGGACTTCGTGAAGTACGAGGGCAAGTTTGAGAACCACGTGAGTGGGAGCATTGAGACTGCTCTGGGCAAGGTCAAGCTGAACGTGGGAGGCAAAGGCCTGGTGGAGAGCCAGTCTTCCTTCGGGACCCTGCGGAAGCAGGAGGTGGATTTGCAGCAGCTTATCAGAGACTCCGTGGAGAGGTAAGAGGAATTCTGTTCGGCATCTTGGGTTTTGACACATCTCATGTTTAAAGGTCATTCCCTCGGACCTTTGTTAAAAGGGTGACAGATGCAACCTTTGCCAGCCAACACATATTTATTGAATGCCAATTGTTCTGAACACATTCTGTATTCTAGAACTCCTTGACCGTTCTTAGCCTCAAGGTGGAAGCACTTTGAAAGGATGTTATTTCAGGAAAATTCCTGCTTCCTTCAGTCCTATGAATTATAAAATGCCAACATAGAAAGGCTAAGTCCTGCATTTTTGAACACTAATGGTGGAAGCAGGAAAATTACAGCCCCTGTCTGGCTGTTCATCCTTTCCTGATAAGGGAGAGAGGAAGGGAGGGACTCCAGAGGAAGAGTTGCTTTTCAGCTTTGACATCTTGAAGAGAACCCCACACTGACTCACTTGGCTTTCCGTAGACACCCTCCATCCCAGGATAGCACATTGCTATTTTACCTTATGTTTATTCAACATTCAATAAGTAGTTTTATGGAGTGGGTACTACGCATCATCTGTGTGCTGAGGATACTACAGCGAACACAGTGCCATAATTCCTGTGCTACATTCTAGTGGGGAAAGACACGAAATACATAACTAAAATGTTCTGTAGGTTGATGGGATTGGTGGGATAGAAAAAACTATGGGGGGTATGCTAGGAATGGGGGCTATGATTTTACACAGCGTGACCAGAGAAGGCATTCTGAGAAGGTGGCATTAGATAGGCCAAAAGGAGTTGGGAATGAGCATGGGGCACTGGGCAAGGGGAAAAGTATGAGAGAGAGACAGTAGAAAGATGTTGCACATGGTGGTCAGGGTGGCTGGAGCCATGTAAGCCGGTGAAGGATGGGAGACAGCAGGGCAGCGAGTCCAGCAGGATCTCAAAGACCATTGGAGAGACGCTCACACTTACGGGAGTGAGATGGGAAGGCCTGAGGGAATTCTGAGCAGAGAAGTGACCTTTCAGAAGGATCAGTCTGGCCCCTGGGTTGAGAAAAAACTGGATGGACAGAAGCCAGGAGCCCAGCTGAGAAGTTATTGCAATAAGCTATTGAGATGGTATTTCACTTTATACAGTACCATATGTGCATCTTCATGTGTAATTTTATCACTTTTTTTTCCTTTTAAGATAGAAGGTTCCAATGCAAATGAATTAAGCGAAACGTCACTTGAATTTAAATATGGGTGGCTTATCTCCTCTTTTGCAATATTCTTCTAAAATATAAAATATGGACTCTGTGCTCATTAAGCAAAATTATGTTTAAAAATTTATAAAATACCATAAAACACGCTTATCAAGAATTTGGTGGGTGGATTTTGTACAGACTGGGCAACTGTGGTCTTCAAAGCTGATACACCTCTCCAGTAACCGCCCAGGGTTAATGGCATCGAAAGACCACAGTCACGTATGTGTGGCCCCTGGTTCCTTCTGGGACTCTGATTCCATGGAATTAGGAGGCCACCAGGAGTTCCCCTTCTGGTCAGAGAACTTTAAGTGCTCTTTGGAGGCCCCAGGTGGAAAGCAGTCACCCATAGCTCCGGCTGTCATGATCTTCATTTTCCTTATTGCTGTTTTTTTTTGCTAGAGAAGCATTTTTATTCTGTACTACAATGCTGACACACATTAGAAAAGTACTTGCCTATCTGATGTAAAATGTAACTGCAAAGTCTGGTGACACTTTCCACTGGGGAAGGAGAACAGAAAGGTGAGGGAGTCTGGGGTTTCTTCTTTGCTCCCTTAGTCTTTACATAGCCCCTTTTAATGATTTTTTGAAGTCACGTTATTTCTGTTTCAAGAGCCATAGTTGGGCAGTGCTCTATAATCACATTTTCTGAATTTTTTTAGGGGGGCGGGTATCGGGTATTGAACTAAGGACCTCGTGCTTGCCAGGCAGGAGCTGTACCACTGAGCTGTAGCCCCGGCCCTTAATCACATTTTCTGATACAGGTTTTAAAACACGCTTCATGATCCAGGTGTAGAAGCCCTTGCTAACTTGGAAGCATATGGGGAGGGGAGATGAGTGAAAACAGTCTGAGGAGAAAGAGTCTGGAGCCAGCAGCTGTAAGTGGGGGAAGGAATGGAACATGTGTGGAACACCTACTGTGTGCCGGGTGGTTTATGTGCATCATCTTGTTTCTTCTGCACAGCTGTCTTCAGCTTGTGAGAGAGCTCAGGCTCAGGAAGGCAAAATAACTTGCTTCTAGGCACGGAGCTCAGCTGGGTGCTGGAGCTGGGATTCCGCTCTAGATCTCCTGTCTCCAACCCTCCTGTTCTTTCCTCTAAATCGTGCTTAAAGTGACTGTGAAGAAAGGAAATTGGCAGAGGAAAACGCAGTTACAATGACAGCACAGAGTGTACAGGTGGAGGCATGCATCTGAGCCCCTGCGAAGGTGTCTGGTGGAGAGTAGAATCTGCCCTGTCCTGAGCAGGCACAGGGAAATGATGAGGCTTGTGCACCCAGCGGGGCCAGACCCAGGGATGCATCGCTTTGGGAGACTCTTCAGGGATACTGTTAATTGCGGAGGTGAGCGGGGAGGGGTGGCTGGGGAGTGGCAGCCCAGGAGCGTGCTGAAGAATAAGTGTCAAGAGCTGGGTGTGTAGCTCAGTGGGAGAATGTGTGTGTAGAATGCACCCAAGGCCCTGGGTTCCACCCCCCAGGTCCAAAGAAAACATTGAAATGCCTGAGGTGCCTGGGGTGGATCATATCATCTTTGTTATGGTGCTAAGAGCTAAAGGTGAGCTACAGAGAAGGGGAGGGAAAGAATGACTCTCCTTATCCTGGGATGGGCATCAGGAAAGGTAGCATTCTTCTGACTCCCGCTGGAGTAATAAATTCTTATCCATCATCTGCCTAACTTTGGACTCCATAACATCATCAGGATTGATAAGGTGCTGTTGATACACATGTGGCCTTGGGAGTGGTGACTGGTGATGCTTATGTACTCTGTTCTCTGCACAGTTTACTTGCAGTCAGTCATTTTTATTTCAGGTCATTTAGATAAGTTATCATCTCTATACAAGTTATTTAAGCTCTCAAAAATCTGAGTATTAGGTCTGGGGATATAGCTCAGTGGGAGAGCACTTGTCTACATGCATGAGGTCCTGGGTTTGATCTGCAGCAGTGCAAAAAAAAAAAAAACAAGAAAAAAAAACCAAAATGAAATAAACCCCCAGTATTGATTTATTGTCTGTGAAAAGTGTACATATCTCAAAAATAAACTTCATCTAGCCTTGAAAAAACAAGCACGTGGATGTATGACATTTATCTAGTGTTTTGAGGCACAGAAATTTTCCACTAGAATTCACCTTCCAGGGATTTGGACTGATTCCTTTGAAGGAATAGGTTTGTTTTAAGCATTCATGATGGAAACCAGTCTAAGACATATTACATACTTTGTTTTTTGAAGAAGAAGGAGGAGTAAGAGAAGACATTTACTGAGAGTTCTTATAATGGCTCAGATTCATGCTTTAGTCTTAACATCTAGTAGTATTCTGTAACACGTGTTACAGACCTTTTCTTCCATCATCAGATGCCATTTGTCACTACTTTAAGTATAATAGCCACTGCTGGGTGTGGTGGTGCACACCTGTAATCCCAGCACTTGGGAGGCTGAGGCAGGAAGATTGCCATGAGTTCAAAAACCTTGTCTCAAAAAAAAAAAAAAAAAAGGAAAAAAACCCCCAGCAGCCACATATCATCTGCAGTTGGTTCATTGCTTCTAATCTCTTGGGCCTGGGGAAATTTATTCCTCATAAATAACTTACATGGACTTGGTGAGTCACACCAGCCTTTGGCCTCAGTTTCCCTGGCTATACGTGAGATAGTTGGACTCGTTGAACTCCTGGCTGTCTCAATGTGAGTAGACCCTGGAGTACACATATCTGCAACTTTTCCTTGAATTCTGGACCTGGGTTCCAGCCGTTTTCCAGCCGTGGTGCTGTTATCGGGTAGTTTGCTTAGAAGTGAAAGGTACTCCAGTCAAAGGTACTGCAGGTCCTTCTTGCCTGAAACAAAGAATTGGACCAGGGAAGCCCAAAACAGTGCCAAAACATGTATATGAGAAGTGAGGGGTGAATGCATATGGGAGAAAAGCACTCTGCGGAGTGAATTTGGGCAGAATAAGAGAAAAAGAAAGTAAAAGCAAAAATATAAGTGGGCTGTGTGGGAATTCACAATATCAAACTTCTCATGATGTCCGGTAAACCATCTCATGGGGGCTGGCAAGTTCTATATATGGAGTCCTGGTGTTGCCCCGAGATCTTTTGTTTGTTTTGTTTTGTTGAGACAGGGTCTCACCATGTAGCTCAGGCTGGCTTTGAACTCACTGTGTTGCTAGGCTGGCCTTGAACTCCTGGTGATCTGCGACTCACTGTCTCAGCCTCCTGAGTGCTGGGATTACAGGCATGAGCCATCATGCTTTGCCCTGGGATCTTGTCATTGGCAGGTCCCACACCCCATCTCCTGTATTAGCACCATTTTGGGCTTTCCCAGCTACTAGGTGGTTGAGGTGGATATTACCATAAGGCCAGTCCCACTTCAATCCTTTCTCACGTTATAAAGCACTTTGGTGAGCAGGTTACATTTGTCTACCTATGCTGTATATGGTAATTAGAAGCTTGGTTTTTCACACAGAATTCCAGATTAGATATGTGAAACCGATACATCATGAAAGCAGTGGTGTGACAATAATAAATCTTCATAATTATTTAGAATATTTTAAAATGACACTCAGTGTCCTATTGTATTTAAATATTCCCAATTTCCATAAGTTTTACATATATATTAGAAATAAAAAAATAAAAATATGAACCTGAAGTTTTACCATCTTTCAATTGGTCTATAGATACCTCCAGCCACCAATAGCAGGAAAAGAACCTAAAGAAGCATTGCCAGCCTCTCTCTCTCTCTCTCTCTCTCTCTCTCTCTCTCTCTCTTTCTCTCTCTCTCTATATATATATTCATATATGTTTAAAAGT